GCGCACACCTTGCCGTCACTTTGTCTCACACACACGCAGAGAGAGCGATAATTGACGCGCTACATGTAAACGCTATTCTTTGTTGTATTTTCTTTTCAAAATAACGGCGTTCCTTTGGAATTCTTCAGCTTTTAAGAACTGCCGCTTTCTCCGGTAGTGGGCCGAACTAATGCGCAAACGGCAATCTCATTGGCTGGCGCTCACCTATTATCGTCCCCGTTTTGATTTCAGCAAATCAGTTCGAGCGAACGTAACAACCTGATTAATATTCATGAATCCAGTAGCTCATTAATCCTTAGTGCGTTTTATATTGTTCTTATTAGTAGAATTCGTATCATTATCATCTTATCAGTATTTTTGTTAATTTTTTCCCGATATTTTTTTTTGTTTGTTTTTTTGTACAAACACTGAATGACCAAAAAAGCACCACCACCAGTCCGAAGTTCAGTTAAAATGAGTCTGAGTCAGTCTGGCGAGTAAACTAAAAAATTTACTAGCCAATGGCGATTCAATTGCCAAGGTGTCCGTAGAGGGTTGACTTAAAAGAATTAAAAGAACCGTTTCATGTCTGTCCTTGCATCATTAACTTGTCAAGGTTGATATAGGATTTAGAAAGTAATTAGTAATAAGTAATTAAATACTTTTTGGAGAGAGTAATTTGTACAGTAATCTAATTACACTGTTGAAGATGTAATTAGTAACTAGTAATTAATTATACATATATTACATATATTATACATACTGGTAAAAAATGTATAGCCTGAATGCACTGTAAGTCGCGTCTGCTAAATGCATAAATGATTAATTACTTTTTTAAAGTAACTTACCCAACACTGCGAATTGGTTGCAAAATTCACCATTTTGACATTGAAATAGGCTATTTCACGCAGATCCAAAGAGTTTTTAATATATATTTCAAAGGAACTGACTGTCTTCAGAAAGGTTTTTAGTCACACTTTAGTTTGGGGACAAATTCTCACTATTAACTATAACTTTTCCTCAATAAACAACTACCTTACTATTAATAAGCAGCAAATTAGGAGTTTAAGTTTCAGGATTAAGGGATCTAAAATATGCTCATGCAGAATAAGACATTAATATGTGCTATAAGTACTAATAAACAGTCAGTATGCTAGTAATATGTATGCAAATAAGCAACTAGTTAATAGTGAGAATTGGTCCTTAAATTAAAGCGTTTTTGGTAACGCTTGCTTTACTTAAAGCCTTCATATATAATGCATTATAAAGGTCTATATAATGTATGTCGTAATGCATTTTATCTTTTCGTAAGTACTTGTAACCAAAGGCAAAATGCATTATAACATTTGTTTTTTAAAATGCATTGTACTTTCAAAAGGTGTACCAATGAATAGAAGTAATTAACTAATTAAGAAAATTAGTATAATGTATTATAACTGTGGTTATAAATATTCAGCATACAATGCATTATAACGTGCATTACAAGTAATAATTAATGCATTAAAACTACTTTGATAATGCATTATATGTAAAGAGTTACCTCCATATGATGCCGAATAAAGAAGTGTCGTGTACCAGGGTAACCGCTATATTTCTGCTTTAACATAAGCGCCACCTACTGTCAGAGATTTGCATTTTCAGTCAGTCGCTGTATGTCTAGAGGATTTTTGGACGAATTAATAGATCTGTAAAAAAGACATATCATTGCAGTCTTGCACACTCGTGTGCCTCCGATGACAGTACGCAGAAGTTGCACAAGTGCATGTTTTTATGACATGAAATTTACTTTATTTGTGTACATGCTAGGTGTCACAATGAGGTTGTCATATAAATTTGGCCATTCAGTTCCTGGCCATTCGGTTGGATCACACAGTTTTGTTTAGTCATAAAAGTGAGTTATACAAAGCAGAGTACAAACATTTGTTCTGATTTATGAAACCATCAAAAAAAGACTATTTTCTTTGGGATTTATTGTAACATTTTAGCTAGCCAGCATAAAACAGGGCAAGACTTTTCTGGCTTTGTTCCACCATTTAGCATGAACCATTAAGAAAATAATAAGGACCTATTACTGTAATAATGATAATAATGTTACGACCCCTTTACAATAACATTGGCAAGCTGCATGTATAATAGCTCTACTGAGGGTTTGACAACAAATTAAGTTATACTTGTGCTCACAAACAACCCTGTATATTTGATTGATGATAAGCAAAGATCTGCATGCTTTTGTTCATTCTTGCAGGTTTCAGTGGGAGCAGATGCGAGCTGTGTTGATGAAATATTAAAGGTAAAAACCATTTTATGTGCTGTCAATAGTGAAAGAACAGTTCGCTGTAAAATAAAAACTGTTATACTTTATTCACACTTGCTAGCAAAACATTAAATGTTTAACACTTAATGTTAAAGTGCCCCTATTATGGGTTATGAAAGGTTCATATTTTGGTTTTGGGAGTCCCCAACAACAAGTTGACATGCATGCGAGTTCAAAAAACACTTTTATTGTCTTATAATATGGAGTAATGATCCATATTATAGGACTATGAATCCATAATAATGTATCAACATGAAACGGCTTGGGATTCGTTTTTAAAAACGACTCATTTAAATGATTCAGAGTCGACTCTTTCTTTTGAGAGGCAATAAATGTAATGTCCCCATTTAGATAGCTAAGTAAACGCGTGTGTGTGTATAAAATAGTACATCCGTCTGGCGAGTAAACAAAAAAATTTACTAGCCAATGGCGATTATATTGCCAAGGTGTGCGTAGAGGGTTGACTTTATACACGGTGCACTTTCAGATTTAAAACTTCATGTGTTACACGCTGCATGAAAGGTCATTTTCAAAAATCCATAATGGGGCACTTTAAGTTAAAACATGTTAGCAATGCTTAGGAACATGTTAAATATGCTAACAATGCCTATCAACATGTTAACAGCACTAACAACAACACTAAACTAACAATTCCTAACAAACAAAATGCTAGCAACACTTAGCTAAATGTAAACAATTCCTAACAATGTTAAAATATGCTGACAACAGATTAGCAAAGCCTAGCAAGCATGTTGGCAACACTTAGCAATGTTAAATATGCTAACATGTTAACAATGCCTAGTAACATGCTAACAGTGTTAAATGCTAAGGACATACTACATGTTAAAGATGCCTAGCAACATGTTAAAATATGTTGATGACATGCTAGCAACACTTAGCACTATGTTAAATGTTAACGGCATGTTAAAAAGGTTAACAATGCCTAGAAGCATGCTAGCAACACTTCGCTTAATGTTAAAAACATGTTAACAATGCCTAGCGACATGCTAAGTGTTAAATGCTAAGAACATACTACATGTTAAAGATGCCTAGCAACATGTTAAAATATGCTGACGACATGCTAGCAACACTTAGCACTATGTTAAATGTTAACGGCATGTTAAAAAGGTTAACAATGCCTAGCGACATGCTAAGTGTTAAATGCTAAGAACATACTACATGTTAAAGATGCCTAGCAACATGTTAAAATATGCTGACGACATGCTAGCAACACTTAGCACTATGTTAAATGTTAACGGCATGTTAAAAAGGTTAACAATGCCTAGCGACATGCTAAGTGTTAAATGCTAAGAACATACTACATGTTAAAGATGCCTAGCAACATGTTAAAATATGCTGACAGCAGACTAACAGAGCTTAGCGAACATGTTAGCAACACTTTAATTTTAAAACGTTAACAATGCCTGCCAACATATTAAATACTAACAACATTTTAAAACATGTTAACAATTCCATGTTAACATGCTAGCAACACTTAGCTAAATGTTAAAAACGTTAACAATGCCTACCGACATGCTAAGTGTTAAATGCTAAGAACATACTACATGTTAAAGATGCCTAGCAACATGTTAAAATATGCTGACGACATGCTAGCAACACTAAGCACTGTTAAATGTTAATGGTATGTTAAAAAGGTTAACAATGCCATGCGTACATGCTAGCAACACTTAGCTAAATGTTAAAAACATGTTAATAATGCCTTGCAACTTCTTACAGTATTCTAGCAATGCTTACCAACATGGTAAAACATGCTAATGGTTTTGTTTAATGTGTTTTTTTTTATTATTAGTCTGATGAGGTCTAATAGGGTCTGAAATAGTCTTGGGTTTTTCCAATTTTATCTGAGGAAAACCTTTAGAATTCAAGTTTTTTGATCTCTCTTAAACTTGACAAAGCAGGCTTTAGTTTCTCTCAAAGAGAGGCACTTCTCTGACATTTTCTTCACTTCTAATCCTTAATAACATTGTTCACAAGGGATACGTAAAGAATAGAGCTGTAAGAAATGACAGAAAGCACTTGGAAGTAATGTCAGTATTTAAAAAATGTGCTAATATGGAAATGTTTCGGTTAACGCTGCCTCTCATGTAATATGTAAGTGTCTCCGTCACTGGAGATGCATTAGAATGAAGGTATAAATGCAATTAGACTGTAAAGCTTCAGAGGGAAGACATGAAACGCATGGAAATGCAGTGTAAAACAGGCCTTCATTGAGTTGTCAAAGCAATTCACATACTAGCTTTATCTCTGGTTTCTAAGATCTGTTGATTGGGGTTTTTTGTTTTCTTTCTCCACCAGGAAATGACTCAGGTCTGGCCTCCTCCACTAACAGCCATTCACACGCCCTGCAAGACAGAGCTGTCAAAGTTTCCTTTCTCCACCTCCAAGGTCAGACTTGAAAGGGTCACAGAGCAGCAGGACACCTGCCGCACACTTGTCCATTTTTATCATGTTTGCAGGACATTATAGAAATAATGAGTTGTTCAGACGACAATAATGAGAATGATACCTACATGCATAAATACTAAAAACACACAAAAACATATTTAGACCCGTGAACTGCTCTTCAGTTGCATTCGTTCGTTCAGCAGACAAATGATGATCTAGTTTTCGAAAGTGTCCAGATTCATTTTGAACTTCTATATCTATTGTTAGCATAGCATTTTAAACCAGTGAAACGTTTTTGTGATGTATGTGTAATAAGTCATTGTTGCCTTCTTTGTTGTAGGATGCCCAGCACCTGTCTTTTGGGGCCCAAAGTAAGTTTTAGAAATCATTTTATCAAACTATAATGGCTCTTTGCTCATTTGTGTGTGCTGATGATTGTTTTCCCCTCTTAGAAAAACTCTCAGGAAAGAGCGCATCCACCAGTCAGCCGTCTAAGCCCTCCGACAACGAGCAGTCCAAGTGAGCCACTGATATACTTACATCTACCTGCAGCTTTTTCTGTTTGAACTATTCGATCTATTTGAAGAGTTCAGTCAAGCATTAGACTGTAGATCAATCCGAGATTCATTTTGCATATGCATGTCGAATATTTTCATAACATGAGCTGCTTAAAATGAAGAAAGTAATTGATATAGCTGATATTCAGGATCGATTATTGATGGCTGCTGTTGACCCATACAATGTATTTTTGGCTATTGCTACAAATATATCCCAGTGACTTAAGACTGGTTTTGTGCTCCAGGGTCACATATATATGATATAGACATGCAGAAACGCATGCTAGTTTGCAGTCAGCTGTATGGTCCAGACGCAGCCAACAAGTCAAGTCACCTTTATTTATATACCACTTTTAACAATACAGATTGTGTCAAAGCAGCTTTACAGTATTAAATAGGAAAAATAGTGTGTAATAATGCAAAACAGTAAACACTAAATTTTCAGTTAAAGTCAGTTCATCATTATAACAAACACCGCCGTTAGTTCTTTGCAGTCGGCTTGGTGTGTCCCATGCTTTACTGGTCTCCTCTTGTCTTGCTCTCATTTCAGCACACTGCATGAAGATCTGAAGCTCAGCAGCAGCGAAGACAGTGACGGAGAGCAAGATCCTGCCAAAAACCCCTCGACAAGGTGACACACTCAAGCTTATCATCACTCAAACCCCAACTAATATTCAGAGAAGTTGTGTACTTTTTCTTTTTTGATTCCATGCCGTAAGGTGACAATGAAACATTTCAACATGCACATTAGGTTAGCCTTAATTTAAGGTAGTCCTAATTTTGTCTGGTCTACTTTCTGGACCATAATGCATTTTGTTCTGGCCAAGAACTGCCTGCTTATATAGGAAGGGACCGCAGCTAACCACAATTTGAAATGTTGGGATTTAGGAGCAATATGAAATGTGCTATGATATTATACCTACGTGAAAGAAATGAAATCCAGTTCTTTTTGCTGCTGTCTAAATGAATCATCACACTGATCGTTGGTGCCATTGGTGTTTGAAACATTAAACTCTGTAGTGTGTTATTTCAGGATCTTGCACTATGCACTTTGCTTCTGTCAAAAACCTAAAAGGAGTTTATCATTGAAACATGTTTCTTGATTATGATGTTACTTGAGCTTGTCTTGAGTTATCACTTGCTGTTGTTTTCATGGCAATGGGAATGCATCAAATGGTTGCAGGCAAATTTGAGGAAATTTGCAAAAGCCTCCCTCCAGCCCTCCACACACTTTAAAATCCCTAATGTAGAGTTGCACCAGCCGTTCGTAAGTTCCTACTTTAATTAAAGTCCATGCTAGAGACTTAGTAGCTACTAGCCTGTTTGTAAGTAACTCTGTACTTTATTTGGTTGCACCATGTGTTCTTATTTCAGAATGTAGGTGGTAGGTCATAAGCTCTAAAAAGTACTGCATAGGCGAGCGAATATGATGTTTACCCTCAAAGATCCAATCGCAAACACAAGCAGAAGTTATATTCAAATGCATTTGTAATTTTAGTTTATCCTTGATTCTAACTACTTTTGTGTCATGCGCTTCCACTGACATACGATGCTTAATCATGAAATAACTTAAGTATTTTTATTAGTGCTGTCAATCAATAAAAAAATTAACTAATTAATTACACATTTTCCTGTAATCCTGATTAATCGCACTTTACATTATTTTTTAGATTCAGTGTGAAAATATATGTATGATAATTTTTAATGTAGAATCAACAGTATATAAAGACAGTGTATAAATATTTATATAAAAGTACTATAAATGCAGGCAAGTATCACCAATACTGATGCCTCTGTTACTGATAGATTTTTTGTATTTATTTTTTTTAAATAAATTTCTTGGTTAACATGAGGAAATACAACCATTCAACATTGAAGCTGTGCAATCATTTTAATAGGCCTTAATTGTTACAGAACTTAAAAAATATATAACATTGTTTTAAACTTACTATAAAATTATCTTCACATAAACCCATTATAATAAATGTCACATTTAGCTATGCCTTTAATATAGTTTGTGTAAATGAGTGCAAATGTCGTCATCATCATCATGTGTCTAAGAAGAACTAAAACATGAGCTTATTGATGCAATTCAGTCAATCTGCTATTTTATTTCTCCTGCTCATGGGCTTTAGTAAATATTTAGTTTATACATAGTTGCATTTCTGTTAAGTTCAATAGTGCAATGCAGAAACATTTAGTTGGGTGTATGTTGTAACATAGTGTCCCTTTATGTCAAAACTAGGCTAAGTTGTAACTTGCGCACAGCTGGTGCAAACGGCCCTAGGTGAATCTTGTAAATGACGGGTAAAGAGATGCACATTGCTCATTATGGGGGTTTTGGTGAATAAACTTGCTCAAGGAGTGTATTGACATCATCTCACTTGGATTTGTGCCTTTGCAAAGTTGAAGTGAATGCATGAGGAAACACGCAGCCAACAAGACGGTAATAAAGTTGTATGTCTACCCCAGTAACAACAGTAATAACAGCGAGGCTCCTGAACAAGTGGACACCAGCAGTCACAGCGGTTCAGAGAGCAGCTCCGGTTCAGACAGCGAGAGCGAGAGCAGCTCTACAGACAGTGAGAACAACGAACCACCTCGTCCTGCTTCACCCGAGGTGAATCTCCTGCACAAACACAGCCTTCAGTCGCACACATAGATCAACTCCTCACGTGAAAGCTGATTTACTGCCAAGCAGGATTATGATAATGACACAATATGTAGGGTTGGGTATCGGTTTTGCGATTCCATTTCTGCTTTTCGTTTCTAGTTCTTACCGATTCCCAGTTTTGATTAAAAAGAAGTCAAACATTTAGATATCAGACATATTTATTCTGTTTTTTTGCAAAACACCATGAACGGCATCCTACAAAATAAAAAAATAAATAAACAGCCAATAGTAACTTTTGCTTATGGTTTTAATAAAAGTACCACAGCAAAAACAGCTAGACTAACTAATATCGATTTTAAACATGATTAAAGACAAGTAGACAGTCATTAATAAAACAATAACCGATAAACACTTTAATAATAGCACAAATAAAACAGTACAGAAATTAAAATCCAATTTAAAAAACACTAGGTTTTGTTTTTATTAATAAAATGTAAATTAATCCTTATTAAAGTTACAAAAAAAAATTTATTCAGTCAAGATCAATGACTGATTGTCTTTCGTTTTGTTCTTTGATTAACGGTAATGACGCAGATTGCAGCAGGTAGAGGCTGCTGTCACTTTAAGACCAAATGCACAGATCCTGTAACCTGATACACATGCGTCTTCTTTCTCAATGGTTTACATTCACTTAAGACAAAACTAATTGTGTTTTTATGAGTATATTTTAACTAGGGCTGTCAAAATTAACATGTTAATTGTGCGATTCTTTTTTTTTCAGTTTAACACGTTAAATATTTAATTGCAATTAATGCAGCACTGAGTTCTGTTTCACGGACAAAATTGTCAAAATACCCATTTTTGGCAAGTGACCTCATAAACCTTGTCTTAAATGAGTTAAAAAGTCCTAAATGGCCATAAAGGATAAAGAGAGAAAACCAGATGTGTGTCAGATCCGCGTCACGTGCATCAAGTTTTAAAGAGACAGCGCTGCTTTTAAAGTGAAACCTGCTGCAGTCTGTCATTGATGGAAATCAAAGAACAAAAGAAAAGAGAATCAGTCACTGCTATGCTCGCTGATTAACTTTTGTAGCTTGAATAAAGATTAATCTATGTTCAATTTATAGTATAGTATACATATACAATTTATGGTTTGTGAAGATTGTTTTAGGTTAACTTAAAAATAAATGTTATATTTTCAAAGCCTATTAAATGTTAAAAATAATGCCTTTCAGTTATACTGTAATGTTGAATGGCTATAATTAATGGCTAAAATTGAGGGCAAAATGCATTTTAAGAGAGACATCAGTAGCAGTATTTGTATCAGTGATACTGGCCTCCATTAATAATAGGCTAATTAGTAAAAAGATGCCATTAAACACATATTTAAAATATACCATCTTTATGTTGTTTCTACATTAATTTGGAGATTCAATGTAAAATTGACAATATCGTGATCTTTATGTTGTTTCTACATTAATTTGGAGATTCAATGTGAAATTGACAATATCGTGATTTATTACATGAAAATGTGCGATTATTTTTTTTAATCGATTTGACGGCACTAATTTTAACAATTTTGTGTAGAATTGTCAGAGAGCTCAATTTGGTATTCGCACACTATATGAGTGCAGTTTGGATGTGTGCAGCAGAGTGAGCACTCTTTCGCGTGTTCTTGCGCTTGAATGTTCACATTAAAATGCGCACACAGGAATCAATAAGCAGAATTGAAATGCGCATCTTATCGAATCCACGGTTCTTGGAAATGTAGAACCGGTTCTCAATCCCCAACCCTAGCAATATATAATGTGTGTATATTTCCCTCAACATTGTTAGACCATGCCTATATATAATTGACCAGATTAGGTTTTATGCTGAACTGAGTTTGATGTCACACTCAATGCATGTTTCCCTGTTTGACATCATCACAGCGGGAACAGCCCACGGCTAACAAATGGCAGCTGGACAACTGGTTCAAGAAAGTCAACAAGTCGTCCCCTGCTTCTCCGGTGGAGAACAGCAGCACGACGGCAACAAAGTATAAGAAAGAGGGGCGAGGAGAAAACTCCAGCAGGGTCTACAGTGGCTCGGGTTCAAAAGACACGGCGCCCTCTGCCGGGCGAGACCTTCGGCCAAACCAGAAGGGGCAAGACAGGCGAAGTCAGAGGTCTCCCGCTCAGAGCGAGGGGGGAAGTCAGAAGGGGCGGCGACTGGAGGTGGGCAAGAAGCAGCCTAAAAAGCCAGACAAGCCGCCTGTGGTGGAGGAGCCAAAGGGTGGGCTCAAGGTGGAGACCGAACCCTCGCCCGAGATCCCGTCGCACAGAGTCCGTGCTCCCAACAAGGGCCTCCGCAAGCCCAACATCAAGAAGGAGCCCAAAACCTCCTCCCCTCGCCCGGCGCAAGACAAACGCAAGAAACCGGCCAGCAAGTCGCGTGAGTTCATAGAATCCGATTCGTCAGCGTCGGACTCGGAGGGCAACGAAAGCGTCCCCTCATCTTCGCAGACGCCAAGAGAGCAGTATGCAGAGAACCCGTCTGTCCTGTTCTCGCCTATGCTTTCCCCGCTGAGCGACCAAGAAGGGAGGCTGCCGCCCAGACTGCTGGTGCAGATCGACCTCAGTCTGCTGTCCAGAGTGCCTGGTCGAGTCTACAAGGAAACCGAGGTGAAAGCGGAGAGGGGCTCCCCTGCTGAAGGAAAAGACTTGCAGAAACAGCCGGGAGAAAAGGGAGCCAGCAAGGGGAAGAGAAAACACAAGGTTGGTGGCAGCTCTTCTGTGGGGATTTTTTGGGGGGATTTGCTAGAATATATGTGACCCTGGACCACAAAACCAGTCATAAGGGTAAATTTTTTGAAATTGAGATTTATACAGCATCTGAAAGCTGAATAAATAAGTTTTCCATTGATGTATGGTTTGTTAGGATAGGACAATATTTAGCCGAGATACAACTATTTGAAAATCTGAGGGTCCAAAACATTTAAAATATTGAGAAAATTGCCTTTAAAGTTTCCAAATAAAGTTCTTAGCAATGCATATTACTAATCAAAAATTAGTTTTGATATATTTATGGTAGAAAATTTACAAAATATCTTCATGGGACATGATCTTTACTTAATATCCTAATGATTTTTGGCATAAAAGAAAAATTGGTAATTTTGACCCATACAATGTATTGTTGGCTATTGCTACAAATATTCCCGTGCTACTTAAGACTGGTTTTGTGCTCCAGGGTCACATATTTCCGTGATTTATTTGTCTCGTACTATACACTGCTGCATCATCACTTTTCACCCTCCGCCTGAAACGCTGTTTTACTTCCTGTCTTTTTAAAGCCTGCCTTCTGAACGCCCAATATGCTCTGAATGATGTTGGTTGTATCCTTGGTTTAATTGTAAACATACAGTTTGGGGTCATTAACATTTTTATTTATTTTTTTTAAGAAGTCTCTTATGCTCACTAAGGCTACATTGGCTTTTGTGAGCTTTCATTGCAATTAAACTGTTGAATATATTGTCAAATGTAATTGGTTCTTGTGATCAAAGCTGGATTTTCAGCATCATTACTCCAGTCTTCTTCAGTGTCACATGATCCTTCAGAAATCACTATAATATGTCGATTTGCTGCTCGGTAAACATTTCTGAATATTATTAATGTTGAAAACAGTTGTGCTGCTTCATATTGTTATGGAAAAAGTGATACATTTTTAGTAAAGATCCTTTGATGAATAGAAAAATACAGCATTTATTTAAAATAGAAATATTCTGTATTTATATAATAAATGTCTTTATGTGGCCTTGCTGAATAAATGTACCAATTAAAAAAAAAAAAAAATCTTACTGACCCCAAACTTTTGAACAATTGTGTACCTTTTTTAATAACTATTGTGTTTCTTCCACAGAATGATGACGATGGTCTCAAACCAGACGGTAAGAAGTCCAAACAGGATGAAAAGTCGTCACACAAATCGAGCAGTAAAGAGTGAGTTCATTCTGCTTTAATCCCTCAAATTTTATAACTGAAAAGCAAATATTAATGTTGGTGAACTTTCTGTAAATGCATTGCAATGCATTATTTTTTTTTATTTAAAATCACAACAATTTTCATATACTTTTGAGTAAGCAACTGCAAGATCTTTACCTTTAAACAGCAAAAATGTTTTAGTGAATGGACGGCATATTTTAACAATGTATATTCCATTGGTGCAAAAAAGCCTCTTTTGATTGCCAAAGGACACATTAAAAAAAATCTTTGTTACAAAAATGTATCAATTTGTAACATCGCTTCTCTTTTACTTTAATATATCGGATCACATGTATCTGCAGATTGTGGTAAACCATAAATAACCTGCAAATTGACATAGTATCAAAAATAACCATTTTTTAAAATGTTTATTTTTTAATACACTGGCTTTTCATTCTACAAAACTGTTCAAATGTATTACATTGTGGTTAAACCAATACTAGGGGGTGCATAATCTGGCAGGGTGCAAATTTCGGCACTACACCGGCACGGTATCAATACCGTGTTCGGAAAGAAAATGACATGTATACGGAACCCCTAAAGGGAATAAATACGATATATATTTCAATATTTTCCCTCGCAGTTATATCAATGGGTAATTATACTACATATATATTTCGGGCATCAGGGAGCTGCTATTATGCCTGGTATTAAAACTGCTTTTGAAAGCACGATTCTTCAACTTTTACGTAACGCATCCTGTATTGTGCATGTACAGTAATACATCTAGTTTCTGGAAATTTTTACAGCACTTTATGTAATAACTTTGTTAAATCTAGGGTTGGGCCGATAGACGATGCCATCACAGCGGTGCTGTGGTACGTCGCAGAAACACATCAGTGGCTCTCTGAAACGAACACAATCTGATAGACATCACAATGTTGAGCCGGCATCGTGATCCCAATACCGTGTTCGGAAAGAAAATGACATGTATACGGAACCCCTAAAGGGAATAAATACGAGATGGGAGGAAAATACAT